TGAACTAAGAAAATATTATTATTTATGCTCGTACATTTTATCGTTGAAATACCACATTTTATATAAAAAAATTTAGAATATACAAAAGCACTTTAAAAATAAAATCAATCGAGTGTAAAAAAACAGAGTTTCTCGCGTGGGTTGTTATTTGAATGAGTTGAAAACACAGCATATACCAGCTGTTTTGGTGGATGTTATWACTTTTAACATTTGGTGGGACATTATTTGACTGAAAACCCCTATTTTTATTGAAARAGTAAATCTGTAATATTAAGTTTACATGAATAAATATAAACTTATTTAACACAATGTTTCATTACTATTATTTATTAATATAGTCAACAACATGGGATGTGACATAAAAATGGTTTTTATTGTACAAAATATTAAATAATTTACAATAAATATGATTTTATGAAGCAATATGATATTCAATAAATAATATATAAAATATGTCTTAGTTATGCCCACATGTATTGGTTATTATTTAAAACCATAAATTCGAGAAAAAAAACATAAAATCGTGCTTATCAATTTTTTTTTTTACAGGCCAGAATTATATAAAAAAGTTACGTCGGGAAAACGAACAACTTAAGAGGGAGATATGGAACTTAAGAGAAGAATATGAACGATTGGAAAATTACGTAAAAAGCCGTGAACAATCAGAAAATGAAGAGGTGATGATAAATCAAATAATGAAATGATGTTCTTTTAGTTTTATGAACAATTAAAAATTAGCAAAAAACTTTAGTGAATAACTTAGAGTAAAAGTTTCACTATATACTAGCAATACTAGCGCCGCTTATATATAATTGGATAAAGGCACTTATTTTATAATAATATTTAATAAAATATATTTACCAGTAATAGGTACAGATTTGTATAGAGCTTATAGTACAGAATTATCTATAAAACAGAAGCTAAAATTTAGGTACAAAAAAATATACAGTTTTATACAGTTAATAATTAAAAAATAATATAGTAGGTATGTAGATAAAAATGTTTAGTTATACTCTATGTCTCTAAGTTATGTGTGTTTCATCTTTTATTACTTGTAGATAGTAATGCAAAATTATAATTCTGGTCTATTTTTAGTAATTGTAACCAACTATTGTTAATAAAACTAAAAACAATTAACTATAAGAAATTCCATTCACGAAAGAGAGCTTTGTACAAAAAACGTATGT